AGTAGTATGAGTATGAGTATGAGTATGAGTATGAGTATGAGTATGAGTGTGAGCAGTAGTATTAGAAGTACTATTAGTAGTATATTACTGAGAATATTACTTCTGGTAATGCTAGTGCTGTTACTATTAAAGTTATTATTCTTCTTCTTCGATGCGCGATTGCTCCGTGCAACCTAGCGAGCCTCATAAATGACTTAGTCATGAGGCAGTGAGCCGCCACTAGTGGCTAGCACTCACACAGGAGCCGCAATCCGGGCCTAGGCCCCAGCAACTGCGACAAATAAACTACACAGGCAGAAACTGACATAAATACTTGGCAGAAAGACTCTTAGCACGTACCTGCAAGGTACATGTCTCCAATGTATGCAGGAAAGGCAGCAATTGCAAAGAAAGCCTTCGGTTGTCTTTTCCGGCCGGTCCAGTCCAGCTTTGCTTAGCACCGCGCGCAAGAATCTCAGAGCCATCCAACTCTTTCAGAAATTCCAATCACGCCTGCAGGTCCGAACGTGGCAGCAACGGAAAACCGAGTCTTCGAAGCAGCTTGTCCGATTTTTCAGGAAGCCATGGGCTGTCTCTGATGTGGTAGAGGACGAGAGTGAATCGCATGCCCTCCCAAGGGCATGTTGCGTGCAAGGAGTTGTCGTCGAAAAGCAGAAACGGAGCTTTGACCTTGTGTTTGTCTCCCTTTTCCACCCGGTAGGAGTACGGAACGACCTGCAGAGGAGGCAATCCAGATCTCTCCCTTCTTCCACCTCGTGAGTGGCACCACTATGTTCAGCGTTGTGCGATCATTGTTTGCGTCTATGTGGGGACGAGCCATGACGTTTCTGGATAGTGAGAAGGAGCTGAAAACGCGGCCCTGTACCAACTGGTTCGCTCATGAGACCAGAGCAATGCACGACCACGGGTAAAGAAGCGTATTTCTCATGACACCAGCTTGTCCACCGTAGACAAAGGCTCCGGCTAGAAATTGTTTCGGTTCCATCGCCGACTGCGTTGTCTCCCGGCCAGTGGAATGGCGCGGCTTCGCGCGGCCTGGCAGGTGCTGTAGCATGCCGTTAAGCTCGTCGGAGTCAATCCAGCCACGTCGGAGAGCCACATAGGCCGTTCTCATTACGATTATTCTTACTATTAGGATTAGGCTACAAGAGCTAGAAAAACTAGAAAACCTCGGCTTCTAGCTTTTCTGGATCTTCTAGCTTTTCTAGCTAAGCTAGAAACTAGAAAAGCTAGAAAAACCACGGTCTTTTCCAAGGTTTCTAGCTAAGCTAAAAAAAGCTAGAAAAGCTTTAAGAACTTGAAAACTTCAGTTTGTAGCTGTTGCAGCTTTTCTAGCTAAGCTACAAAAGCTAGAAGGGCTAAAAAAGCAAGAAAACCTGGAAACATCGGTTTCCAGCTTTACTAGATGTTCTAGCTTTTCTAGCTCATCTTAGTCTTCTAGCTAAGCTAGAAAAACTAGAAAACCACGGTTGTTCCAACGTTTTCTAGCTAAGCTAGAAGAGCTAGAAGAGCTAGAAAACCTAGAAACCCAGCTCCTAGCTTTTCTAGGTATTCTAGCTTTGATAGCTAAACTAGAAAAGCTAGAAACCGAGGTTTTCTAGTTTTTCTAACTCTTCTAACTCTTCTAGCTCAGCTAAAACTAGAAAACCGCGGTAGTTTCCAGTGTTTCTAGCTAATCTAAAAACTAGAAAAGCTAGAATACGTGGACTGTTAGCTTTTCTAGGTTTTCTGGCTAAGCTAGAAGAGCTAGCAACGCTAGAAGAGCTAGAAAATCTAGAAACCTCGGTTTCTAGCTTTTCTAAGTTTTCAAACTTTTATAGCTCTTCTAGCTTTTCTAGCTAAGCTAGAAAAAGTGGAAACCAAGTTTTCTCGCTTCTCTAGCTAATGCAGCTAAGCTAGCAAAAACTAGAAACCACGGTCTTTTCCGTGTTGTCTAGGAAAACTTCAGCTTCTAACTCTCTATAGAAGAGCTAGAAAGCTAGACAAACCACGGTTTCTAGCTTCTCTACCTCTTTCAACTTCTCTAGCTACGCTAGAAAGGCTAGAAAGACCACGGTTTCTAGCTTTTCTAGCTCGTCTAGCTTTGCTAGCTCTTCTAGCTTTCCTACATAGGCTAGAAAACGTGGAAAACTTCGGTTTCTGGCTCATCTTTCTTTTCTGGCTCTTCTAGCTTTTCTAGCCAAACTAGAAAACCTAGAAAACAATGGTCTTTTCCAAGGTTTCTAGCTAAGCTAGAAGAGCTAGGCAAGCTAGAAGGGCTTGAAAAGCTAGAAAACTTCGGTATCTAGCTATTCTAGCTTTTCTAGCTAAGCTAGAAAAGCTAGTAAAACATCGGTTTCTGGCTTTTCCAAGTTTTCTAGCGTGTCTAGCTAAGCTAGAAAAGCTAGACACCGAGGTTTTCTAGCTCTTCTAGCTATGCTAGAATAACTAGAAAACCCTTGTCTTTTCCAATGTTTCTAGCTAAGCTACAAGAGCTAGAAGAGCTAGAAGAGCTAAACAAAACAACGGTTCCTGGCGCTTCTAGCTTTTCTAGCTAAGCTAACAAACCTCGGTTTCCAGCCTTTCTAGCTCTTCTAGCTTTTGTAGCTATGCTAGAAAAGCTAGAAGCGGATGTTTTCTAGGTTTTCTAGAAAAGCTAGAAAAGCTAGAAAAGCTAGAAAAACTAGAAAAGCTAGAAAAGCTAGAAACGTATGTTTTCTTGGTTTTCTAGAAAAGCTAGAAAAGCTAGAAAACTTCGGTTTCTAGCTTTTCTAGCTTTTCTAGCTAAGCTAGAAAAGTTAGAAGAGATAGAAAAGCTAGAAAACCTAGAAACTTTGGTTTGTAGCTTTTCTAACTTTTCTAGCTAAGCACATTTGATAGCTTTCTAACTCTTCTAGCTTTTCTAGCTTCTAGCTTTTGGAGCTAGGTTAGAAAACCTCGGTTTCCAGCCTTTCTAGCTCTTCTAGCTTTTCTAGCTAAGCTAGAAAAGCTAGAAACGGATGTTTTCTAGGTTTTCTAGAAAAGCTAGAAAAGCTAGAAAAACTAGAAAAGCTAGAAAAGCTAGAAACGAATGTTTTCTAGGTTTTCTAGAAAAGCTAGAAAAGCTGGAAAACTTCGGTCTCTAGCTTTTCTAGGTTTTCTAGCTAAAAAGTTTGAAGAAATAGAAAAGCTAGAAAACCTAGAAACTTTGGTTTCTAGCTTTTCTAGCTAAGCTAGGACAGCTAGAGAAACAACATTTTCTAGCTTTTTCTAACTCTTCTAGCTTTTCTAGCTTCTAGCTTTTCTAGCTCGTCTAACTTTTCTAGCTTCTCTAACTAAGCTAGAAGAGCTAGAAACCATGGTTTCTACTTTGAATGTCATTGAGGAAAGGCGGCGTCACATAGTACATAAAGGTCCCCCTATCCCCCTCCCCCCCCCCTCCCCCGCCCTCCCTCCAAACCTAGGATTCCTGTGAAAGAATCACGTTCGACCCCTCCAAACCTAGGATTCCTGTGAAAGAATCACGTTCGACCCCTCCAAACCTACACTTTGCTGTGAAAGAATCAC